ATTTATGCACACAAGCATTGGGCATGAAAGAAAAGGGAAAGTGTTTTGAAATGAAATTAAAAGGGGATTTTAGGGAGAATTCGATGAAACGGTTTTTGAGAAAAACCCGGTCGCCACGGAGTCACCAAAGGGCCGGTGTGTTAATATAGCCTAGAGGGAACTAGGGAGATTGCCCTAGCATAGTTGAGCTATCTGGGCCCCAAATGACACTGCAAAGGTACCAAAGGTCAGGGACAGTAGCTAATCCTTCTCTCGTGTCGCTGCGGAGTCACCAAAGGGCGGGTTATATTAACAGTTTGTGAAGTGATGATGTTTTTTCTGAAAATGGGGAGTGACATGCATAACATTGCATTCATTGCACAAAATTTATTTGCTTTGAACTTAGAATTGATATTGTGTTTTCCCGGCTTTGCATGACCCCAAATTCCTATTGTCTTATTCCTTATTTGGATTCACTAGGACACAAGAGGTGTGTCTTAGGCACCACCTACTGAGCAATGTTGCCCACCCCTTTTATTTAACATTTTTTTACAGGAAACGGGAAAGAAGTGGCGGATGACATTCTACCACAGACTTAGTATGGATTAGGAGGTTATTTTGTTATTTTTGTACTTGGGTCACTCTATTTTTGTAAGACTAAGCATAATGTATTTTGTATGATGACTTATGGACTTTGAATATTATAATTATACCTATGGGCCTGTAAAACATAGACATTTGATCTTAATCTTGTATTTTGGGACTGTAATTATGATACTTGGATGATATAGTATGTGGTTATACCACCATGCAATGTATTAGATGTTTATTGTGTTGGGACTGGTTAAAAATGCTTTTAAAAAGGTTTTTGTAGGACGATTTTTACCGGAGGTCATGCCGAATTTTTTTTAAAATTTTGGCATCAGTTAGGGTCGTTACATTTATCTTCATACTTTGTGGGAAGGGTTTGATGATGCTGATGATTCTTTTTCTTTGGCATCTTTTATTTACTGGCAATTGTGGAAGTGTAGGAATGATTGGTGTTACAACACGAAGAAATGGAATCCACCTGACATTTTAGATCAAGTTATGATGCAATATTATGAATTTTATGCTTTGGCGCGACAGGATAAAATTCATTATTTGCCTCATAGTGATCTTCAACCAATTCTTGGCCATTGGAAAGCTCCTAACATGGGTTATTTGAAGCTTAATGTGGATGCATCGTATTGTACCAAGTCTATGCTATGTGGAGGTGGAATGGTGTTGCGAGATCATCGTGGCCGAGCATTAAAGGTTAGTGCCGTGTGCTTCCATAATATTGGTAATGTTGTAGTTGCATAAGCTATCATTCTAAATGAGGGGTTGAAACTCATGTTAAGCTGGGGCTGCAATGGTGTTGTGGTGATTGAGGGTGACTATAAAAACGTCTTGTCCCTAAATCCTACCAATTCTTTATCTGCTTTTGTGTGTGTTGATGTTTCACAATTAGTGCATCAGTTTTCTAAGTGTCAGCTATCTTGGTGCCCTAGAGTTTGTTATAGGGTAGCTCATGCCTTGAGTAAATGGGCTGCTCATTACCAAATAGGGGAGTTTGATTGGGATGTTTGGCCCCATGGTTGTTGGAGGCACTGTCTGTAGATTGTTTTAGTTCTTGATTTCTTTTGTCTATGACAAAAAAAAATATATATATATAAAAAAAAAAAAAATCACTGTTAATGCGGAGGGAAAAACCCTAGCCAATGGGAATGTGACAGTTTTACAATGAAGGGACTTTACTATTTGTCTGAAACATGTCAATCCTTGAATCGGATAGGCCAAAAAAATTAGGCCGGATGCATTAGAGAACATTCGGCCCAATCCCTTCCATCCTCCTAGATCATTGTAAAGAGGATTCGTAGGCCCAGCAAAGGCTTGAACCTTAGTAAGATTTTGTACCCTAATGGATAGGGTCCAAAAGGCCCAATAAGTATTTGTGTATTTTTCAGAAGTTGTTTTATAAAATCTTGGAAAGGTTTATTGGAAGGAAATATGAGGAAGAGAGCATTCATTAACCCTCTTATGATAATATATTGGTTGAAATGATTTGCCCATTAGTGAGAGAGAAGAAAGAGAAAGGGGCATCACGGTTAACTTGTGTAGTCTAAGTTTAGAATTTTAATGTGCGGTGAGTGTGGTGACTACCGTAAAAAAATTATTATATGATCCCGATTAATCATTATATGACACATTAGTAAAAAATTGAATAAAACTTACATATCTCTGACACATTGGTTAATGTGTCGCATGGTGATTGAATTGGTCCAGGTACCATTTAATAGTTTCTCTCCGTTTATTGGTCAATAAATATTTCTTTTAGTTTTATCTTATAATTTACCTTTTTTTTTTTTTTTTTTTTTTTTTTTTTTTTTTTGTGCAGGATTTTTCAAATTTTCATTCAAGAAGTTCCGTCAACAATTTCAAACATTTTGGAATTAGTTCTAATTTTAAAATCCTCTTTTATGTCAATACTTGCTCAAAATTTTGTACTTTATAATTTATTGCCTTTCTTTTACGTAGGTTTTTAACACAATTAAATTACTATCTATTAAGTTTAAAAAAAAAAAAAAAGAATTTTTATATTTCCTTGAACTTTATTAGTACTATATTTATATACTCAATTTGAGAAGACATAATTAGCCTCAAACTGCATCAAGCCGGCTCTGCTCACAAACCCTAGTTTTCTCACCAATCCCGTCGCTTTGTATATCTCTTACCAATCCCAATTGTCCTTCCTATAAATAAATCTCTATGGTAATTAGCCTCAAACTGCATCAAGCCGGCTCTGCTCACAAACCCTACTTTTCTCACCAATCCCGTCGCTTTGTATATCTCTCACCAATCCCAATTGTCCTTCCTATAAATAAATCTCTATGGTACAGTTTTAATGGTGTGGAATGATGATATACAAAAGTTTGGCGTTTTTTCCTCGTACTCTTTCTTCTTCGATCTAATTAACACGGTATTAGAGTCACCAACAAATATAATTTTGCATTAAATAGTTTATTCATTATCAAAATATCATGAATTAAAATTTTTAATATTTTATTTTTAATATAATAGATTGTATAGTTTCAATGTTGATATATTACTTACAAAATTATCTTATACATATTAGCTAATAGTAACAAATTCAACTGTAATTATCATGGCCCCTATCATTAATTGATGAATGTGGTGGTAAATATAAATCATATTATGTAATAAAATAAAAGTGATATATATAATACTATACACAAATAATATATGCCTTCATATTATATAGTCTATGTTTTATATTTATTATATAATATATTATGAATATTCTTATAGTGTTTAATATTTTTTTCCTAAATTCCTATAATATTTAATTAAAAATATTATACGTTTTACATAATTATATTATTTTATAAAAAAATTTATTTATTACAAAAATGTATTTCTTATATAATTTACTAATTTATTATATAATATACTAATTTATTATATAATATAATGTATTTTGATACTTTTAGTTATTTTCTACTTCTTAGTATAATAGGAGTAGTTTGTATATTGTAATATTATATCTTATTTGTGAATTTATCTCTTTTATTATTGGTGTTAAATAGGTATTTTAGTCATTTTTGGTAGCAAGGGTTGCTTCCTTTTAATTAGATGCTCATTATTTTACAAAGTATAATGATAATTGATTATAAAAAAGCAGATTTTATTTTTCGCCTTTTTATAAAATATGCTTATCAGATATAACCATATTTTATAAGCAATAAAAATAATATGGGATGAATTTACATTTATACTATAATTAATTTTTTTTATTCATTAAATTTGCAAAAAGTATTAAAAATAATGTTAAATGGTTTTTAAAAATTCAATATAATTCACTACAAAATCATATTTATTGAATTATGTAACAGTCCATTTTGGGTCCTATATGCTGGGTCAAAAAAATCCCTCAACACAAAGATTACACTAAGAGCAAATCCACCAACAAATAAACATCAAATAAAAGTGGTTCAGAAAATATAGTAAGCAAATATTATATATTATATATTATTAATCAAAACCAAGAGGTAACAATATTTGATTATTTTAGATTGATATGAGAGAGACAAAATAATTTTAGCTACGAGTTTGGCTTCAAATTTATTCAGCATTGACGGCAATCTTCATCCCAGAATCACAATCCCCCGCAAAATCAGATATGAAGTAATTTTGTCCCTCTGGAAGGGTTATCGCGTCCAAAAAAAAAATTTAAGGAGTGAGGATAAAACAAATTATTACCAAGTTTGTCACCGGCTTAAAGTGTTTGCCATTAGGCCAATTACTCACATTCTGGTTCGAGTTCCAACCTGCACCGCCATTAACTAAATAAGTTACCCCATGGACCGGCTCAAAGTGAACCAGAAGTTATAACTATAAGAGTGAGAAGTTGTGAGGATGCAAAGTACTGACAAATGCTAGTCTTTTTTATTTTTATTTTTTTATAGGAGGTTGGTGAGAACTATACTGGGCAACTCGGGTTTGAAAAATATGAAACGGGCTTATTAATTATGATATTACAATGCATTCTCCCTGGATCTTATATTAGTTGTTCATTTAATGAATATAACTTTTGTAATTAATTTATTATTTAAAAGGGATAATTTTATCTTTCGAAAATAATATCACTCACGTTATAAAAGTTTGTTCTGTTTTTAACTCACGCTCCAAAAGTTTGTTCTGTTTTTAACTCACGCTCCAAAAGTTTGTTGACAAGAAGGTCAGACCACTTTTTATATGTAAAAAGATATTCTTACCCTTTAACTTTGGTTTGACCCACTATATTATTTCTTTAAGGATTAAAATTACATGTTTATTCTCATTTGACTTTAGTTTGACTATTCAAATGACATGTTTACCCTTCTATTTCCATATACTAGATTACTGTTGCTGCAAGTCTTCAAGCATACCTGAGGCTGGACGGTGGTGACTCATTGCTACACTTCCAAGCCAAAATCATCCAACAAAACTTGTCTCTACCAATAATCTTCATAATACCCACCAAAACAACAGGAATACAAAATCAATAACAGTGAAGCTAAAAACCAAGCAAGGAACTCTGCATCTAACATTCTCAAAGAAAAAAAACAAGAAATAAATAAATAAATAAAAATGAACTTTTCAACAACAGATAAATCAAGCTACATGCCTAATTACTAAATAAAAGGGGTTTTGGTGGTGGGGGTCGCCTTGATCGATGCGGCGGCGGTTGTGGGGGTGAGTGGTGGTTATGTGGATGATGGTTGCGCTGTTGATTTTACTGGTGGTTGTTGAGATTGGTGGGTCATTCGCCAAAGTTGATTTCAGCAGCGGTGACGATCTGCAACGACAGTGGCGACGGTGATGACTTGTGGCGAGGATCTGCAGACCTACAACACCAGCAGTGAAGTTTTGCGGCGTTGGTGGTGACGGCAATGGCAACACAGAGCACCAACTGAGCCAATTCAATCAAGTAGCCCAGTTTCCGTTAATTACTCTCCACTGTCGGTGGGGTTGTTGAGAGTGCAGAGGCTGAACCAACCGGAGTAGAGCATAATTGTTCAAACCATTAACGGAAAACCTTCAGTACCTATCCACGAGCTTCACGCAGGCGAAGATAGGCCCCTAAACCCAACTACGGCTAGCTTGAGCAAAATGAAAACCTAACAGAAACGCTCCACCTCTTTTTCTCTGTGTTTATTCCGGTGACCCAACAAAGTTCATAACCATTACTGAGCTCCATCATAAAGACCCTGATGCATTTCAGTTCCAATTCATGTGTGTTCCGTCCGGTGATTTTTTTGTTCCAGTGGTCCTAAAAGAATTGGGATAATAATATATTCGTTAATTGGGATATATATATATATATATATATATATATATATATAGTTAAAATTGGGTTCCTGTAATCATCGTTCTGGGTTATATATATATAAGTCCATATAACTGGGTTTGGAGGTCGTCGGAATAGGTGGTGGTGGGGAGGGCCTCCCATCTTTCCGATTCTCCTTCAAAGGAGATTTGGATGAAAGATTCGAGGGTAGTGATTGTTGGTAGAAGAACTAGAAGTTCTAACCATCAAAATTGGGGTTTTAAAATTGAACAAATCAAATTAGAGTTTCGAAATTGCAGACCTCAAATTAGAAATTGGGGTCTGTTGAATGGCTTGGGCAGTGGTGCGGTGGTGGGTTGCCGGAAACTCCATGTCCATGTCCCTCCGCCGCCGCCTGAGCTGCCGTTCCACCTCTCAGTCCACTGCATCGCTAGCCTTGATATACTACTTGCTCGCCACACCACAGAACAGTGCTCGCCGTCGGTCAGATTCTTGCCAGTCGCTGTTCCTTGCTCGCTGCTGCTCTTCACGCCGTTTACTCCGTCATCGCCGGTAAGTCAATTCTTGCAATAGAGATGGGAGAGGGAGCGTATGGAGATGTTTTGGGGTTGAAAGGGTATAGAAGTCATTTGCATTATCTAAAATTTTGGTATAAATGTAATTAAAAAATTAGTGGCAAACATGCCTTTTCTCGTACTTTTAACGGAGACAGTAACAGAAAAGCAAAAATGAATCTAAGTGATGGTTATTCTCAAAAGTTGTTTTAGACGATATTTAGCCAAACTTAAAGAAATATCACTAAAATTATCACTAAAATTATCCCTATTTAAAATTATCATTTTACCGTTTCGAATTTGAATATATATAAATTTTATTAAACATGGGTGGAGTGTGGATGTCATTACATCATGTTTTGAAAAGTATGAAACGGGCATATTATTTATGATATTACAATGCAGTTTCCCTTAATCTTATATTAATTGTTCATTTAATGGATATAACTTTTGTAATCAACGATTAGTGGTCCAGCGGTATCAATCTCTTATTTTTCAAAGAAAAGTCAGGAATTGTGTATATGAATACTAAGAAAAAATATATATATAACTTTTACAATTAATTTATTATTTAAAATTATCAGTTTATCGTTTCAAATTTGAATATATATAAATTTTATTAAGTGTGGGTGTCATGTTTGGAAATATCATTACTTAATGTATATAATAAATTTTTTTTTTTTTTTTTTTTTTTTTTTTTTTTTAAATTCCAATGGTATCTAAGGAAAGTTGCATTTAACTTGCGTGGACTTTTAAGTAGCCTCTGTAAGACAACTATTTTGTTCTAGCCTCTGTAACTCTCACAAATAGTGATGCTTCAAAGCAATTTAGACTATGTCCCAAAGATTTCCATATTTCTTTTTATTAATTAGAGTAATCTATTGCGGGCTCTCTGTCTTGCTAGCTCCCCTATTTAAGCGTGCACGAATAAAATATATATCTATATCTATATTTATATCTATATACCCTATAAAAGTGTATTCGATTTTAATTTTTTATATATATTTTAAATTAATTTTTTTAATTTACAAAAATATTATACTTTCACGTTTCCTTTTTACACACTGTTTTTGTTTTCTTTCTTTCTTCTTTTTTCCGAAAGAGTCGACGTTTCCTTTTTTTAAAAGCTATCAACAGTTAAGATGCCTTTCTTTTTACACACCGTTTTTGTTTTCTTTCTTTCTTCTTTTTCCCAAAGAGACGACGCTTCCTTTTTCTAAAAGGCATCAACATTTAAGATGCGTTTTTACTTTTATATTTGAAAGAGACGTCTATTGCGAAAGGTTGTCGGTCGCTTATATATACCTACGAGTTATATGATCTCAAAACAAAAAAAAAATTCTTTCATGTTATCTTCTTCTCTGCAAAAACTTTTTTTCATTTTCAGGCCAACATTATAAGTGCACTATACCTCTTAAATAAATTATATATTGAAGTTACAATTCTTCTCTCCTCTAAAAACTTTTTATGTCTCTGTATTTTTTATATTTATTTATATTTTCTTCTATATCACATTATTATTGAAATATTTTAGAGTTTCTTTTACATATAACTTTTATTCAATATACTGTAATTATTACATGAAGAGTTTCTTTATAAAACTATCTCTATCCTTCTATGTATATACATTTTTGTCGTTACTTCTCAATAAGTTAAGAACACTGCCAATAGTAGATATAGTCAATGTTGCGATTTTTTATTTATAGATAACAATTTATGATTATGATATAATTTTAATGTTTCTGATTATCTGTAATTTTTTTTATTATTTTGAAGTATCGTACAAGAAGTGTTATATTTAAAATATAACTGTTAGAGTGACAGATATCATAAAAACACAATTAAAATAAGTGTTTCAATTGAAAAAGGTCACTAACTCATTATTTGGGTGTTCATAATTGATCAATTTTATAAATGACCTGCCAAATAACAAAAAACACAATTAAAATAAGTGTTTCAATTGAAAAAGGTCACTAACTCATTATTTGGGTGTTCATAATTGATCAATTTTATAAATGACCTGCCAAATAACAAAAAACACATGTAAAATAACTAAAATTATAATTAAAACATTGATAAAATAGTCAAACACTAAATGGATTATGATAGAGAAAAAAAAACAAGATATATTATAATTGTGATGAGTTGTGTATTTTAGAATTTTTTTTTTAAAACAAGATATATTTGTGTAATGTATAATGTTATACTAAATTTTTGAATTCATGAAATATGGTAAGGAGAGGTGGGGTTCCCATTTTTCTTAGAAGTATGAAATCTTATTTGCTATTCAATTTGAATTTTTCTTCTTCTTTAGTCTGTCATAATATGACCTAGGAGTATTGCCGCAATAATTTTGTGATAATAATAAAAATAATAATAATAATAATTTCCATCCAACTTTTTTTTTAGCTATGTCACACTTGGTACTCATTTGTCCCAATTGGCATGTTGCACATGTTCCTTGCATCATTTATGTGATAGACCTACGTATTAATAAATTCTTCAAACTATACATAATAAGTACTATTAATAAAGGTGGTGATATATGATAATTATACTATGCAATATTAAGATTCTACATAGTTATTGATAAACACTATTTGTACTTACTGTTATCTTTTTAGATATGTATGTTTTCTTTAGTAATTCATTCTTTCTTTATTATACTGTGTTCCGAATGTTTTCTTTATAACTTACGATTTAGTGGCATCAACACAGACAAACCAAGGAAAACTTAGTTAAAAAAAAAAAAATTCTTCTATTCTGAAGCTGATATTTATATCTAAGACCTTGGAATTTATGCTATATTTTGGATACTGAACTTTTTTATCTATAAATTTCTATGTATTTTTTTAACTATACCGATCAAAAAATTTCTATGCATTTTTTTTCTTTCTCATGTATCAATAATCATATACTGACTTTCTTTATCACTTCAAAGTTTTATTTTTTAAGTTATTTATTATTGATTGTTTACGTAACTTATATATATATATATATGACTTTTAAAAGGTGTGTTTGTTGTTAAGATTGTAACTCATTAAGTAGTTTAGTTATATATATATATATATATATATATATATATATATATTGTTTACGTAACTTTTATATATATATATATGACTTTTAAAAGGTGTGATTGTTGTTAAGATTGTAACTCATTAAGTAGTTTAGTTATATATATATATATATATATATATATATATATATATATATATATATAACTAAACTACTTAATGAGTTACAATCTTAACAACAATCACACCTTTTAAAAGTCATATCCTTAATGCAAAACACTTATAATATTTTAATAATTAGACAGAAAGATGATTAAGACCCTCATATAAATCATGTTATTAGTTATGTGACTTTTTTAAATTCTTCATATTAATAGTTATCACTCAAAAAATTAATAATAATTATAATTAAATTATTTTCTATTTGTATACAATTTTATTAATTAAATATTAACTTAAATAAGTTAATAAAAAATAATTAAAGAGATTTTAAATTTACATTATTGTTATTAATAAGTTTAATCTGAAACAACACATCAATTATTGAAGGGCACGAACGTTCATATAAATGACACAATCTTTCATTAAGGACACATATGTCGGATAAAATAGTAAAATAATAGTTGTCCAATATATTCAATACAACAACTAAAACTAAATGATCATGAAGTAAATAACAAGATTAACATAATATTAACAAAGGAGAAATTAGAAAAAGTCGCATCACCATTCTGGAAAAATGAACCAAAAAAAATTAAATACCAATTAAAAATGATTTTTCTACTAAAAGGAGTCATTGTGATAAAAAAATATTATTAGTTAGTCAATTTTTCGTGATAAAAAATATTTTCTTTTTTCATTTTTTGGTTTGGAAGATTCAAAATTAAAGTTAATTTTATTTTATTTTGAGATAAAATAATATATAAAATACAATTATTTATCCAAAATATAGATTTTTATTTACGTGCATTGCACATGTCCATTCTCTAGTACATTATAAAAGTGTATTCTGTTTTGATTTTTTATATACATTTTTAAATAATTTTTTTAATTTACAAAAATATTATACCGACGTTACCGTTTTCAAAGAGTTGTCACATTTCTCTTTATTAACTGTCACTTTTTTTATTTTTTATTATTTTTATTTTACTTTCCTTTCTCATTTTATTATTTTTTTTGGCAAAAAATTCTTGTCTTAAAAGGAGTTTCTCTCAATTAAACATCAAATCGATGCAACTTTTTTTTTTTTTTTTTTTAACATCTATTCGGCTGGATTTTGACGTCTAAACACACGTCGGTTTAAGATTATATAATGGGCGGTTGACATTCAGATTTCTCTATGTCATTCTATCTCTTTGGTTATTTCCTATAAATTGTTAAAAATATTTTTCTTATATGTTCTATTGCAACTTCAAATATATTCAAAAAAATTCGTATTTGGTTGAAGCGCATGCCATAACTCAAGCTTTATATTTATTGAAGGTATGTTTCAATTTGAATTTCGGTACAAATTTGATCAAAGTTAATCAACACCCATTCGTTTTTTGCAGGTAAGTTTTAATTTGAATTCTATACCAACCAATTTCCAACCTTTTTGATAAAAAAAGCCATACAATTTTTGTTTTTACTTTTAGCCTATGATTACATCTGTTTTAGGCTGCACTATTGAGAGATAATAGTTCTGTTGTTTGTCAACATTGTTTCTTGTTTTACATAGATCTAGCCAAATTTAACATCCAAGTCTTTTTACATTTTTTCTTTAGAATTTTTAAAAATAATTATTATTATTTTGGATGCAGAAATTAGAATATTCTGTTAAAACTACAACCGTAATCATCCACTGCATCTATGAAGTATATATATTTTTTTAGTCCGAGTCTTAAAATTTTGGTTTAAAAATTTTAACCCTTTAACACAATACTTGAAACGTCATGTTTCTATATATGTGATTTAGTGAAACTGAAACACCAGTTATAATGTAATTGTAAAAGTTATATCCTTTGGTTGGAACTCATTTGACCTTGATGATAAGAGACGGATATATCAAAGCTCTGTAGATAAGTTAGAAAGTTAGGACAGTGCTTG